AGCATCAGTATTATTACTAACAAGGGTAGTGAACACGAATCGTGTGTTTCTATTAAGTTTTAGCTGTCCTTGGACATCAGCCTGCTAGGGAGGTAGAATCAAAATACTTCCGAAACCATTTGACAAGGCTTCCTCTGTGTAATCACGTCACCAATCTGACATGCACATGGTTCATTGCCTCCTTTCCTTTTTTATGGATTTATTTATTTGAAAGTGAGAGGAGCCAGTGCTGTGGCGTAGCAGGTGAGGCCATTGCCTGCAGTGCCGGTATCCCATATGGGTGCCAGTTCGAGTCCTGGCTGCTCCACTTCCCATCCAGCTCTCTGCTATGGCCTGGGAAAGTAGAAGATGGCCCACGTGCTTGGGGCCCTGCACCCTCGTGGGAAACCCAGAAGATGCTCCTGGATTCAGATCAGCCCTGCTCTGGCCACTGCAGCCATTTGGGGAGTGAAACAGCAGTTGGAAGACGTCTCTCTCTCTCTCTCTGCTGCTCTCTCTATATATAACTCTGCCTTTCAAATAAAGTAAGAAAATCTTTTTAAAAAAGAGAGAGAGGGAGACAGAGAGATTGTCTCTCTACTGGTTACTCCCCACATGGTTGCAACAGCTAGGTCTAGGCCAGGTCACAGTCAGGAGCCAGGAACTCCATCCTGGTCTTCCACGTGGGTGGCAGGGGCCCAGGTACTTGTGCCACCTTCTGCTTCCTTCCCAGGCGCATTAGCAGGGAGCTGAACTGCAGGCAGAGAGCTAGGACTCAAACCAGCACCTCAATATGGGATAATGGAGAACTGTGCACCACAATGCTCCCCTCCCCCTTTTTAAAAATTTTTTTAATTAAATGCATTATTTTTATCGAATTTTTATAAGTATGCAAAACATCTGCAATGTCTCCAAACAGTAGCTACATAATAAAGTGCATACAGAGAAGTCTCATTTCCACCCCACATACACAATTCTTCTAGTTTATCTTTTTTTAAAAGGTTATTTACTTATCTGAAAGGCAGACACACAGAGGGAAAGATCTCCCACCTGCTGGTTCATTCCTCACATGCCTACAACACAGGTTGGAGCCAGGAGCCAGGAACCCAACGCAGGGCTCCTGTGTGGGTGGCGGGGCTCATGTACTTGAGCCATCCCTGCTGCCTCCCAGAGAGCACACTGGCAGAAGGCTGGACTGGAGGTGTAGTGGGGTCTCAGACCCAGGCACTTCACCGCACTACAGCACCAGTCCCCCAGGCTATCCCTAAAGGACAAGCACTGAGTGTGTGTGCATACCTCCATATTACTGACACAGACGGCACACTACACACACCACTACGCACCTCATGATGTCACCAACCGCTAATGAGCATCACTCTATTAGCACACGTGTGTTAGCACGTGTCGGAAACTTTCTGCAGGACTCCATCCTGTGTATATGCCGAACATGTTCAACCAGCTGTTACTACACGTGTAGGCAATTTCTGATCTTTAGCTATTCATTAATGTCACAAGGAATCGTCTTGTGCATACAGCTTTGTGCTGTATCTATCACCAGGATTAAGATTTGACCTAGGGTTACCAGAATGATAGGCAAATAGGTATGTAATATGGCTCCATCTTGCCAAATTTCCTTGGTGACACGTCACTTTGCCCGCTCTCCAACAGCCTATGTATGAGAACGCTGGCTTTGGTGTATTCTGGTGCTGTATCCGATTGAGGAAGCTGCAGAGACAATCACAGAGCAGGTCCCCATGTTTGAGAATCCTGAATCTGGCAGGAGTGGCCATGGCAATGAGGACGCAGTGAGCAGTGATGGACTGACCGGAAGCTAGCAAAGCTTGGACCTACCAGACCTCCCCTATGGGCACTTCTTTAAAAAAAAAAAAAAAAAAAAAGATTTAATTATTTTATTTGAAAGACAGTTAGAGAGAGGAGGGCATGGAGAGTCAGTCTCCCATCCACTGGTTCACACCCCAGATGGCCGCAATGGCCAGAGCTATGCTGATCCGAAGCCAGGAGCTTCTTCCAGGTCTCCCACATGCGTACAGGGGCCCAAGGACTTGGGCCATCTTCCACTGCTTTCCCAGGTGCATTAGCAGGGAGCTGGATCAGAAGTGGAGCAGCCGGGACTTGGACCAACACCCATACGGGATGCCGGCACTGCAGCTGGCGGCTTTACCCACTGCGCCACAGTACCAGCCCTCCTATGAACACTTTTGCAATACCTCAGCTAAGTGTTCACTAGGTCATTTTGTAATCTCTCCTAGAGAGGGCCCCCCAAGTTATCGAAGCCCCCCAGACCCCAACCCACCTCACAGACTTCAGCCAGCCTCTCCTGGCAGGGAGGTGAATTTCCTTCTTCAGACACACCGCCCTCTTCTACATTCCAACTTTTCTTTCACTTTTTTAAAAGACTTATTAAATTACTTGAAATCAGAGTTACAGAGAGAGAGAGACAGAGACAGAGATCCTCCATCTGCTGGTTCACTCCCCAGATGGCCACAACGGCCAGGGCTGGGCCTGGTAGAAGCCAGGAGCTTCATCTAGGTCTCCCACACGGGTGCAGGGGCCCAGGCACTCAGGACATGCTCTGCTGCTTTTCCCAGGCCACCAGCAGAGATCAGAAATGGAGCAGCGGGGATATGAACCACAATGTCAGCCCCAAGGAGGTGAATTTCAAATCTATTTTGTAGCCAGCCCCTGTAGGGAGGACCCCGTGATATTCAATGACTGACTCAAAAGGATAAAGCCACGCTGATAACTCAACAGGTGGGGCAGGTGTTGTGCACAGCAGGTAAGACGCCACTAGGGACACCCGCGTCCCACAGTGGAGTGCTTGGGTTCTAGTTCCAGTTGCATTCCCGATCCCAGGTCTCTGCTAGTGTGTACCCTGGCAGGCAGCAGGTGATGGCACCACCATCAGGTCTCTGCCATCTGTGTGGGAGACCCAGATTAATTTCAGGCTCCCGGTTTCAGTCTGGCACACGCCTGACTAGTGCGGGCATTTGCGGGGAGAGATCTCTGTCGCTCTGCCTTTCAAGTAACAGAAAACAAACAGCAGGCAGGCAGCTGTCCACACAGAGCCTTCTCTATTTTCCCTCCAGTTTCCAGCGTGGAGAAACAAGTCTTGCTGACATCAGTACTCACAGCCAACTGCTAAAAAATCATGCTTAGCTGGCATTTAAGACACAAATCTGAGGTCAGCAATTTCCTTTTTAGAGGAAAGCAGGCTTGTGAATCCCAAGGGAGTGGGTATTCAAGGCAGGTATCTTCTGGCCAAATAGGCAGAGGTTTGTCCCATCAAACCTGGAGCTGGAGGGCCCCACCCTGTGGCACAGTGGGTTAAAGCCCCAGCCCACAGCATCCCATATGGGCGCTGCTCCACTTCCAATGCACTCCCTGCTAATGCACCTGAGAGAGCAACCCCCACATGGGGGTCCCAGAAGAAACTCCTGGCTCACTCAGTTTCGGCCATTGTGGCCATCTGGGGAGTGAACCAATGGATGCAAGACTTCTCTCTGTGTGTCTTTACCTCCCTCTGTGACTCTTTCAAATAGATAAAATAAATCTTAAAAAAAACACCGAGCTGGAGACAAAGCCTCCCCTTGTGGGGTTTGGTTAGGATTTTGGGAGAATATTTCTATAAAGACAGCGTTCAAGGCCTGAATGCTTTGTTTCCCATCCAGCTTCCTGCTAACGGGCCCGGAAGGCAGCGGGAAGACAGCCCAAGTCCTTGGGCCTCCGCCACCCACATGAACACTAGGATGGAGAAAGCCAGCTCCCGGCTTTCTCCTAGCCAAGCCTTGACTACTGGGGCGTGAACCAGTGGATACATGATCTCTCTCCTCTGTCACCCTGCTTTTCAAATAAGCAAATCTTCCAAAGCCCTAACCCAGTTCCACTCTCGGGAGCCGGCCCATTAAGGAAGGCGAGGAAATGAACCGGCCTGGCCCTGGCGCACAGCGACACTCCGCAGCCCGCCTTCCACGGCACCCGCAGCGCCGGCCACCGCCGACCCACGCGGGCTGGAGGGTGCGCGCTGCTCCCGCGGCGCACCAGAGGGCCGGCTGGCCCCGGGCCTGCGGGACCTGCGCTCCCGCCGAGCTGACTGACAGCTGCGGGGCGGCCCGCCCACCCGCCCGGGAGGCTGAGGCGCCCCTGACCGATCTGTCAGAGAGAACGGCGGCCTTCGCCATCCTCCCCGGCCTGTCTGGCTGGGTCCGCGACCTCTCCCCGCGCGCCCTCCCGGCGGGACCCCGGCCCCTCTCCACCGGGAGCACTCCGGGCACAGCGGCGGACGCCGCAGACCCCGGCTGCCCGCGCCGGGCAGTGCGCCCCGACTCCCCGCGGCCTGAGAACAATGAGGCGCCGGCTTCTTTAAGGGAGATACCACCGCTCGGCGGGGCAGGGGACGGCGTCTTCCCAGATGATCGCACCCAGCCCCGCACCGCCGCCGCCGCCCCGGCAACTGCAGCGCCCGCAGTCCTGGCTCAGTGACTCGGACAAAAGGTGCAGCCTCTCTCCCGGCCGGGCGGACGCCAGGCCTCCCAGCTCGGGCCGCGCCTCCTCGCGGGCTCGCCGCAGTGCTCCGCGTCCTGCAGGCATCCTGGGCCCGCGACGAAGAAGATGCTCCAGGCGTCCGTCCCCAGCGACCCCCGCACACCAGCCCGCGGCTCGGTAGGACCCGGGGCGGAGCGGGGCGGGGGCGGGGAGGCTGCGGCTCGACGCGCGCGCACCGCCGAGCCCTGGACCCGCGGCGGCAGAGCCTCCGGGGGCCGGGGGCGGTCCGCGCCCTCTGCAGCTGCCCGGCGAGCGAGCCCGGGCGTGGGTGCCCGCCGCGCGCCCGGGCCCGGCCACCCCTGCGGGGAGGGGCTCCAGTGGTGCGCTCCGCAGCGCGCGCAACTCCCGCACCCAGGACTCCGCGCAGGCTGCGGAGAGGCGCAGGGGCGCGCGCCCGGCTCGCGCTACGGAAAGCCGGAGGGGGGCGGGGCCGGCGCGGGGGGCGGGGCCGGCGCCGGGGGGTGTGTCCGCGCACCACGGGGGCGCGCGCCGCCCTCTGACTGGCGGCCGCGGCGGCGGAGGCGCGAGCTGCCCGATAATGGCGGCCTGCAGAGCCCGCGCGAGAGAGAAGCGGCGGCGGCTGCCCTGAGGTAAAGCTGGCCCTGCGGCGTGGCACAGAGGCCTTGCTGCAGCGTGCCGCCCTCCCCGGGAGGCCTGTCGCAGACCTGTCAGCGGAGCCCGCCCCGGGAAGGCCCTGCCCTCAGGCCGGCGGCCCCGGCCGCGGCCTCCTCTCTCGCCAGGGCCCCCACCCAGGCCCCAGCCGTCAGCGCTCAGCCCCGGGCAGCTGAGGCGGCGGCGGGGCTGGCCCTCTGGGGGGAAAGAGCCCCCCAGGGGGAACCCCCCCAGGCTTTCCCTTTCGATGGGGGGCCCTTGGAGGGGGGGGGGGGCCTGAATCCCCGCCCAAAAGAACGCCGGCCCGGGGGGGGCCGCTTCCGGGAAAAACCTTTTTGGGCCCGGGCGGGGCTTTCCCCCGGCCCCCGCAAAGGTGCATGGCCTGGCCGGCCCGCGTGCCCGCGCGGGGGTGAGCCGGGAAGCGCAGTCCTCGGGCGCTCGGGGTCGCATCCCCGTTGTGTTTGGATCCAGAGCCGCCTCCCTCCGCCTTACTCGGGCAGGTGCTCTTTCCAGGGGTCCTGTCAGCCCGAGAGGTGTGGGACCGCCTTGCGGCGGGCGGTGACTGGCAGGAAGGGGTGTCTGCTGGGGACTTGGGGCGCGGAGTCGTGGCAGAAACCGGACGCTCAGACGCCGCAGCGGGGTTTGAAAGGCAGCTGTCCAATGGAGAAGTGGGACTGCCTGCACCTCCGAACCCGCTTCCGTGACGTGACGAAGGCTAGCCCAGGCACTGAGAGCAGCAGCCCCCAGGTGCGCGGGTTCCAGGGCCTGTGTGCACAGCATGGACACTGCGCAGTCCCGCGGGACTTTTCTTGCCCATGGTGGCAACCGAAACGTGAGAATTTGTTCCTGAGTCTTGGAAATTTCTGCAGAGCGAGGAGGCACGCTTGCGCCTTCTCTGTCCAATGCGTGAGCATTCCTGTAGGGCCTCTGCTTCTGCCTTTAAATCACTTTAGTAAGTTGAATTCCGAAGAACTCCGTCAGAGGGCCCATTTGGTATGTGAGATAGTTTTGGTGGACAAAATGACCTTGCACTAGGGGCCAGCCGCGGCCTGCATGCCGGCATTCCATATCTGAGCGCCAGTTCCAGTTCCAAATACTCTGCTTACCAACCAGCTTCCTGCTAATGGACCTGGGAAGGCAGAGGGTGATGATCCAAATAATCGGGCCCCTAACACTCAACATGGGTTACCTGGATGGGGTTCCAGGCTCTTGGCCTTGACCTGGCCAGTGCAGGTATTTGGGGAGTGAACTACAGGATGGAAGATCTGGCTCTCCTTTTCTCTCTGTCATTCTGCCTTTCAAATAAATACAGTAAAAAGTCTCTTTTAAAAAAATGTAGAACTGAATATTGTTAACAAAAAGATACCTGTTTTTTAAGTAGCTTACTTTCTTTATAAAGGAATATTTTTCATTTATTTTGTGAGAAAATAACATAAGAAGAATTAAAATATGAACATATATGCTTTGGCCAAATACTTTTAAATCACAAAGACATTTAAACATTTTCCATTCTGATTGATTCACTTCAGTCCTTGAGCACAAGCCAGGTGTTTATATTTCTAACTGAGGATTTTTTGTTTTTACTGTTTTTCTGACCTTTTATATGTGAGTCAGCCTCAAGGAGCTGGGATTTTGCTTCCTTGTTTGCTTTTTCATGTTCAGTAAGAATGCTGAGTTTTTGGGATTTATTTTTAACAATGATGTTTTCAAGAAATTCACAAAAGAATTAGTGTTCAGCAGTGGTTAAAACTGTGGCTGTTGGGGCGCCAGATTCTGTCCCGGTTGCTCCTCTTCCAGTCCAGCTCTCTTCTGTGGCCCGGGAAGGCAGTGGAGGATGGCCCAAGTGCTTGGGCCTTGCACCTACATGGGAGACCAGGAGGAAGCACCTGGCTCCTGGCTTCGGATCGGCGCTGTGCACCTGCCGTAGCGGCCATTTAGGGGGTGAACCAACGGAAAGAAGACCTTTCTCTCTCTCTCTCTCTCTCTCTCTCTCTCTCTCTCTAACTCTGCCTGTCAAAAAACAAAACAAAACAAAACTGGCTGTCTGAGCCAGCTGGCCTGGTTTCAAATCCCAACTCTGCCAGTTACTAGCTGTTTGACCTTAGGCATGTCCCTTAACCTCTCTGTGCTTTAGTTGATTCATCTCCAAAATGACCATACTAGTACCTGCTGGAATTATGAGAATTAAGGGATTTTAATATCATAAAGTGCTTGAAACAGTTCTTGATAGTGGTAAGTACTATAATTGTTAGCTTTAGTATTATTAAAATTATATTTGCCCAAGGTATATGTAAATATCATTCAGACACTGCAGACAAAGAGACAGACAACTGAATAATACATAAGAGAAAAAAATAGAAACTAGTAGATGTACCTCATTTCAAAAAATTTTATTGTTTTTTTTTTTTCCAGAAACCTCGGCCTCGAAGATGGTGAGTAGCCAGCCAAAGTACGATCTAATACGGGAGGTAGGCCGAGGCAGTTACGGTGTCGTGTATGAAGCAGTCATCAGAAAGACCTCTGCTCGGGTGGCAGTGAAGAAAATTCGATGCCATGCACCTGAAAATGTTGAACTGGCTCTTCGTGAGTTCTGGGCACTAAGCAGCATCAAGAGCCAACACCCAAATGTGATTCACTTGGAGGAATGCATCCTACAGAAAGATGGGATGGTGCAGAAGATGTCCCATGGCTCTAACTCTTCCCTTTATTTACAGGTACGTGTCACTGAATGGGAAACAGACATGATCTGAGCATAACTAACATTTGTCATCAGGAAGAGGAGTGAAAGGGTCAGGTGAACATCTCCCTTTAAGTACAGGTGTTTTCTGCTTCAGAGTACTTAGGGATCTGCCAAGATCTGAGTAGATGTTTGCTTAAAACAAGGTTTTATTTAAACTTGTGATGCACAGACCTAAAAATAACACTGGCCACCTGTTGTGCCTTGGAACCTGCCAGTCTTTATAGAAATGGGGCAAGATAGGACCTAGAGAAGTGCCTGAGACTGGAGTCTAATAAGTTCACTTCTTGGAAATCCTTTGTTTTGGAACTGATGATAGAAGAAAAGGAGAAACTCCACAACCAATAGGAGCACCCATAGGTAATGAGCATCTCTTTTATAAATCAATGATTTGAACATAAGCCCTTGCTGTTTTAGAGGGCTATGTGGTTTCTTAATTAACAACTAATTCCAGTTAATTTTCTTGATACATGGATAGCACCTGGATGTTATTAATAGTGCCAGTAGCTAACATTTGGGCCTCTATTTGATTCCATACTCTGTGCTGAGTGTTTTAAAGGCAGTTTAAAACAATCGTATGAAAAAAGTACTATTATTAACTAAATGATGAATAAAGAAACTGAAGCTTAGAATAGGTAATTAATTTATCCAAAGTCATATTTGCTTCCAAGTGTCAGAACTGGGATCTGAACCAATGATATCCGACAGCTAAAGCTTTTGCTATCTTAACTCCCAAATTACTCTTTTCTGGCCATGAAGAGGAAGTGTGGAAGAAACAAATCAAAATCTCTAATGGCTCTATTTTCTCTGTATATAAAAAATACTTAAGACATAGCTGATGAGGAGTGGGCATTGTGGCGTAGTGGGTTAAGCCACTGCATGGGATGCCATACAGGAGTTCTGGTTCAAGTCTGGGAGACTCAACTTTGGATTTAGCTTCTTACTAATGCATCCTAGAAGCATCAGATGAAGGTTCAAGTGCTTGGGCCTCTGCCATCCACAAGGGAGACACATGTGGACTTCCAGGCTCCTGGCTTTGGCCTGGCACAGCCCTGGCTGTTGCAAGCATTTGGGGAATGAAACAGCAGATATAATCTCTCTCTCTCTTTGTCTCTCTCTATCCTTGCTTTTCAAGTAGGTGAAAATAACTAAATAAACATTAAAATACATATAAAAGAAAAAAACGTATCTAAAGGCCAAAGGAACAGTTGTTCTTGGAAACAACTTTTTCTTGAGTGTCTCTAAGTTCAGAATTAAATCAGACTTTACCATTTAAAAGAACAAAAGTTTCTGGACTAAGAACAACAAAGAAAAAAATGTGTTATTGGAAACTTGCAAGTTTCAGGGCCGGCGTTAAGCCACTGCCTGCAATGCCAGCATCTTGTATGGGCACGGGTTTGCGTCCTGGCTGCTCCACTTCCAATCCAGGTCCCTGCTATTGCGCCTGGGAAAGCAGCAGAAGATAGCCTGAGTACTTGGGCCCCTGCACCCACGTGTGAAACCCGGATGAAGCTCCTAGCTACTGGCTTCTGGCCTGGCACAGCCCTGGCGGTTGCAGCCACTTGGGGAGTGAACCAGCGGATGGAAGATCTCTGTCTCTCCTTCTGTCTCTGTAACTCTGCCTTTCAAATAAATAAATAAATACATCTTTTAAAAAGAGAAACTTGCAAGTTTCGTTGTATGGTGAACAAATATCAATCTTAATTCATAGCTTAGCACTGCATGCACTGACATTTTCGTTCTTAAGACAGGGAATATAAAACACATTAAGCCTTTATTCACTTTATTTAAGCACTTTATATACAAAGTGCTTATTTTGTAAGTTGCACTGATAGAAAATGTTGGAACTACTCTTAAAAATAGACTCTTATTGAGCCTTGCAGACTAAGATGCATAAACTCTTGAACCAACAAAGCAGACATTTAAACTTTATATTGATTACAGATCCAGCAACCATTTATATATATATATATATATATATATAAAAAATATACAGTAACTGGACATTAGCTGGTGTTTCAAGGTTTTAAGAAGTAACTTGACTCAGGGGTTTTTGTATCTAAAACATCTTTTTAAAAGCCTGTTAAAGCCACTTGTGAGGTGTAGGCATATTGGCACAGCTGTTAAGTCGCCTGAGTCATAACTGATGCTTCCCAGAGTATCCATTAGCAGAAGGCTGGAGCAGAGCCAGAGCTTGAACCCAGGGACTCTAACATAGGATGCAGTTGATCCAACTTCTTCTTAACCACTAGGCCAAATGTATATAAAATAAGAATAATGATTTCAACCCTCCAGGGGAGTTGTCAGACTTAAAGATGATGCAAAACTAATGCTTGACACATAAGAAGTATTCAGTAATAGATGCAGGTATTAAAATTATCTTTTCTGCAGACTTCTTTAGTTGACCAGACTTTCATGAACACATTATCAGGTGCCTTGTCTGAGTTCACATCTAGTAAAGACAACAGGTGTTTACAACTAGTAAAGACAAAGCTGTATTGTGACCAGAGTCCCTATGTGTGGTCTTCTCCATTCTCTATACAAATTTTAATTTTCTTCCATGTTTTTCCAGATATCTTTTTCTTTGTTCTCATTTGGAATCATTAAATCAGTTCCTGATACCTAAAAGCCTCACCTAAAAGAAAACAAAATAATTAGCAGATGACACAGTGTCATGCATAAAACTCAATGACCAGTATACTTGTGATAACGTGTCATGGGTGAGAAGTAGAGGATGGCATAGGAACATATAAAAAGAAACCTGACAATACTAAGTTCTTTTTATTGTCTAAGATTTATTTATTTATTTGAAAGGCAGGTGACACAGGGAGAGGGAGAGACAGATCGTCCGTCTGCTGGTATAATCCCCATATGGCCACAACAGCCAGGGCTAGGCCAGGCTGAACCCAGGATCCTAGAGCTCCATCTGGGTCTCCCACATGGGTGGCAGGGACCCAAGCACCTGGGCTATCCTGTGCTTTCTCAGGTGCACCAGCAGGGAGCTGGATCAGAAGTGGAGCAGCCGGGACTGGAACTGGTGCTCATATGGGATACTGGTGTCGCAGGCTAGGTGCCTGCTGCACCATAGTGCTGGCCCCCCTCTTTCTAATTCTCTTTCTCTGGGCATGTGTCTCACTCTTCATTTCAAATAAATGTTTTTTAAAAGAATTACCAAATTTTTAAACTAAAATTTGTGGGGTGAAGAGGCATTAGCTAGGGGCCAGTACTGTGATATAGCAGGTTAAGCTGCTGCCTGCAGCGGCAGCATCCCATATGGGCGCTGGTTCGTTTTCCAGCTGCTCTACTTCTCATCCGGCTCTCTACTAATTTGCCTGGGGAAGCAGTGGAGGATGGCCCAGATGCTTGGACCCTGCACCCACATGAGAGATCCAGAAGAAGCTACTGGTTTCAGCTTTGCTTAGTCCTGGCTGTTGCTGCCATTTGGGCAGTGAACCAGCGGATGGAAGACCTCTATGTCTCTCCCTCCCTCTCTTTCTCTGTAACTCTGCCTTTCAAATAAATAAAATCTTAAAAAAAAAAAAAAAAGCAGCAGCAGCATTGGCCAAATCATTGAGTAAGGAAAACTTCCTAAGCAGAAAAAACTGTACAAAGGTCTTGAAGCAAAAAAATGAAGTATTTTAAAGATTGAAAGAAAAGAAAAATAGTGTGCAGGGAGAGTTATCTATCAGAATACATGAGGCCTCCTAGCTTATGTTAAAGAGTTGGGACTGTATTTTAAGAGAACAGGGAAGCCTTTGGGAGACTTAGGCAAAAGAACCAATGGCTGACATCCTCTAGGCCACTGTATTTCCTTAGCTTCCAGTCGGAAGCCCATGGTTTGGATAGTTAAACTAGACTTTTTAAAATGGAAGAATAATATGGGACAGAGAGCTGATGTGGCTTGTCAAACCTAAAATATTTACCAATCTTTGGATGCTGGGACTCTGCAATGTCAAAGCTATTAGGAAGTTTGCTTTTGAGGGTGAAGACAAAAGAAAAGCATATTTAGTGGCAGTGTACCCTGTAAATAATTATGTGATCTGTACCTTTCTACTCTTTCATTTTTTTCTCTGTCTCACTGGAAAACACATGCAACAAGGAAAATACATCAAAATAGACTTCCACAAACCATTGTAATTCCTGCTGCCTGCTATGGGGGAGATAGACAAGGGGGTGCTCTTAGCTTCTGCCTGGCTCCCTCCCCCCACCCAGCAAAAATGGCAAGAGGAAGTACCAGTAAATTTAAATGTGAAATTATCAGTTCACTCACTCTTCAAGAACACTTCAGTTTTTTCTAGTCAATTGAAATAGAACAAATACAACAGATACTTAGAAAGTACTGTCTGCCCATATTTTGATCTTTTCATGAAGCTGTGAGCTAGGTGCATGACAGAGTTTAGCTCCGTTGACACAGATACATTCAGTTGGACACTTTTCCAAATAAAACTATTTTTAAATAAAACTTTACTTCTAGGCTTAGAGATTTGGTATATATTCATTAGGGATGAGGTAGTAGTTTGAAATTAAAATGCACATATGAAAGCACTGGCCAGATAATATATTCCTGGAGGTTCCACTTAAAACTAGAGCAGACTTAACCTTTGATCAGTTACTCTTCTTCTATAACTAAATTGGGTAACTGGTGCAGTTGATTATAATCTTTTTTTTTCCCCCTTTTGTAGCTTGTAGAGACTTCATTAAAAGGAGAGATTGCCTTTGATCCCAGAAGCGCCTATTATTTGTGGTTTGTGATGGATTTTTGTGATGGAGGAGATATGAATGAGTATCTTTTGTCCAGGAAACCCAATCGTAAAACTAACACCAGCTTCATGCTTCAGCTGAGCAGTGCCCTGGCTTTCTTGCATAAAAACCAGATCATCCACCGAGATCTTAAGCCAGATAACATCCTAATTTCTCAGAGCAGGTTGGATACGAGTGACTTGGAACCCACACTGAAAGTGGCGGATTTTGGTCTGAGTAAAGTTTGTTCAGCCTCTGGGCAAAACCCAGAAGAACCTGTCAGCGTAAACAAGTGTTTCCTTTCCACAGCATGTGGGACAGATTTCTACATGGCTCCTGAAGTATGGGAAGGACATTACACAGCGAAAGCCGACATCTTTGCCCTGGGGATTATCATCTGGGCCATGTTGGAAAGGATCACATTCATAGACACAGAGACAAAGAAGGAACTCTTGGGGAGTTATGTGAAACAAGGGACCGAGATTGTGCCTGTTGGGGAGGCACTCCTGGAAAATCCCAAAATGGAACTTCTCATTCCTGTGAAGAAAAAGTCTATGAATGGGCGAATGAAGCAACTCATTAAGGAAATGCTGGCCGCAAACCCTCAGGATCGTCCAGATGCTTTTGAACTAGAACTCAGATTAGTACAAATTGCATTTAAAGACAGCAGCTGGGAAACGTGACATATTATTTGCAAATATCTCGGATGATATGCTGCTTCTGTTTTAACAGTGATGCAACATTATGTGGCTGAAAAAGAACACAAAAAGCTGAACTCCACCTTCTAAGGGTTTAGGTTTTATTGTGAGGTGTTTTTTTTTTTTTCCTCATTTTTCTTAAATCCAAGCTGGCCATTTTATTAGTATGTTTTAAATGTGTATTACCAATGTGGGTGTAAATTTTTTTTTTAGTGATCATTGGTAGAAGTTTGGCAGGAAAATTCTCTTAAGAGCCAAGAAGAGAGTCCAGTTTCCTGGAAACATGTCTCTGAGTATTTTAGACATTCCTCGTCAGTATTAGGAATTTCCATGGAGGAAGAGGTGTGCATGCTGGTAATGCAGCCTTTGAAGCTTTGTAAAGGAAACATATATGTAGATATTTATGTATATGTGAGTATGTGAATGTGTGCATTTTGCATTCCATATGAAGAAATGCCACTTCTGTTTAAATTATTTGATGTAGGTTTGGGTTTTTTAGATTTGCTGGTGAAATCAGTGATGGAAAAATAAACCTTCCCTTACCTTCCTACCCTGTCCCCTCCCTCTAATGAAATCATGCTAAGTTTTTTTTTTTATTTTTGTAATATCATACAGCTTCATTTTGGAGGATCTAAAACTAACATTATTGACATAAAAGAAAGTAAGTGATCCAGAGATACTGAGGTGTCTGTAAGCTCTCTAGTGCCCAGTAGCTGCAGGAGTTCAGATAGTGATGCAATCCTAGGTAGCAGGTAGACGAGGACGTTGATGACTCAGTCATACCTTCTTTAGGTAACTGAGTGTTCATGCATCTAATAAAACCACTGCGTTGGGACATGTCTGCACTTGAGCATCTAAAATCTGGAACAAATCTGAACACAGGATTCTTCTGTTTCTGAAAACTTTGAACAGTAATATATATCTGAACTATAATACTTGATAAATTAAATTTTGGTTTCAAGACTATCTAATCCTCTATAAAGTTGAAGACACCAGATGAGCTCTACCCTCACATTGCCTGTCCCTTGTTAAATCACTGGAGTTCCTTTCATTCTGGCACTGATGCTATTTTTCTTTTGTCTAATTTGAGATAGTAATGGCGGTGATATGGTTGTCTTAAATGTTGACCACTGGTTTCTGGGCGAGAGGTAAAACCTCTAACATTTTGTAAATGGATAAACTATTGTAGCATCAACTATTTTTTAATGTAATGACTTGGTGTATCTATGTCAAAAACCAAACAAACCATTATTCCTCTTGAAGTCAGTTTAATTTTAACTCTGTGGTTGCCTCCTGTTTTCTTGTAATTGCAGAGAGTTAAAAATCTAAGGAAAGAATGCCTTCCTCACACAGAACATTAGCCTTTAAGGTTAAATTTAACATTGTACCTAGGTTATTCTTTATAAAGCACTAGACTCTGGTCAAAAGTCAAACAAAATAGTGTTAGAATATTGAAATTATCAATAGTTTGCATAATCACAACTTTTTTGAACTTACACAACTTCTAGAATATTTCTATCATTTTCCCCTATTTAAAATGTGTTTAGATAATAGAAGGTAAAACAAAACACTGGGGCATGTAAAATTTCTGGACTATGTGTTACTTGATCTGGAAGTTTAAAATTTAGACTGAGGGATTTTTTTGAAATAAAGCCTCCTAAAATGAAAAAAAAATCATAAATTTTAGCATCTCTTTCAAGCTATTAAATGGAAGAATGCTTTTGGAAATTAGAGGTGGCAATACACTGGAACTTCATGGTAATTGGCTCTCAGGATCACAAAATTGACTTAACACAGAGAAACTCAAGGAGATTGAGGTACTGAAAGTAAGAAAACCATCAGTAACGTGGCACTCAGTAGAGTCATAGTTGGTGTTGCCAGGGCCCCTTTTGTCCCTCAGATATCTGTGTTCTTAGAACAATGGTTTCCTCAGTACATAGTTTTAAGTCTTCTTTCCTTTAAAATTGTTAATAATTATCTTTTATTTTAAAAGATTTTGCCTATGAAATGGAATTCTTTCATTGGGGGTAAGAGTATAAGGTGATCAGGAAGTTTCTTCTGGAATTTTCTCAGATCCTTATATTCTAAAGTAGCCTAGACACCAAACAAAATGATAGTAAATTATTTTTCTTCTTTTTTCAGAGGTATTTATTAAGTACCTAATGTGTGCTCAGCACTAATGGTTAGTTGATAAAACAATAATTAAAAAGTAGCATTTAGCCACAGGCATTTTCCAACCAAGAGTAAAAAATAGAAGATGATTATCAATAGTTGGGAATTCCTGGGTATTCGCTAGAGGAAAAATGAAAGTAAGAATTTGTTCACGGTGCCTTGCCCATAATAGGTACTCAATAAACAATTATTCCTCATAGAGTCTCTTGCCATGGTTTATGGTATTTTATGAAATTTGTCTTAATTGAAAAAAAAGACCAAATATTTCAAATAGCTTATAGGCAGCTGTGGCCAGTTGAAATATGGGGTTGTACAGTTAGTTCCTAGAATGTTATTTTGCACTAGTCGTCACTTAGAAAGATGGGGTTCCTGTAGATTTTTGGTGCTAAGGGATGCTTTGTCATTATGATGAAGTGTTACGTGTCAGATAAATAGCACACAGAATAGTTCTTTCTGCTGGTCTGTTTTTTTTTTGTTATTATTGTTGTTGTTTTTAATTGTAAAATGTTATCAATCAAACTATTGTAGCAGCTACAAAATAATTCACCAGCATGACAAAATGGTCAAAAAATAAGTCATCAGCACTTCAGAAATGAAAGCAACTTTTGAAATTTTCTTTTAAAATTGTCAAATATATTTTATGAAGAATTTATAAAGGGGGAAATGATTGTAATTTATTGTTCATGACAGTTTTTTTTTTTTTTTAATAAAGTGAGTTTCAACAAAAAGAACCCTGAAAATTCTATATTGCTGCTTTGGTGGCTCTGTGAGTAGTCCTGTAGTACTTTATTTCATGAGAATAAAATAGAGGGTCTAAAATTTGAAACAAGGTATTTTTTACATTTACCTACTAAATGATACTTTACGAAAATAGAAGCTGTTGCTGAGAAAAAGATGTTTGAGTTATAGAAGTTCAGCATTTCAAGTTCCTTAGGA